ACTGTTGTCAAGTGGCTCCAACCCTATATGTAACAGAACAAAGCATTACTTGGTCCTGTGCCATCTTCATGATTGTTGGTAATCATGGTTTTCATTGACTAATTTTCAGAAGTAGATCACCAGGCCCTTCTTAGTCTTTCTTAGTCTGGTTGCTCCACTGAAACCTGTCCACCATGGGTGACCCTACTTGTATTTCAAACACTGGTGGTATAACTTCCAGTATCATAGTAACATGTAAGCCACCACAGCATGACAAACTGACAGACATTGGTGGTTCATAGAAGGTGGTTGTTGTTTTTGTTAGGTGCCATAGAGTTGGCTCTGACTCACGATGACCCTATGTACAACAGAACAAAACACTGCCCAGTCCTGTGCCAGCCTCACAATCCTTGCTACATGTGAGCCCATTGTTGCAACCACTGTGTCAATCCATCTCGTTAAAGGCCTTCTCCTCTTTCGTTGACCCTCCACTTTACCAAGCATGACATCATTCTCCAGGATTCCTTCTGACAACATGACCAAGAAGGTGAGACAAAATCTGATCATTCTCGCTTCCAAGAGTCATTCTGGCTGCACTTCTTCCAGGATAGATTTGTTAGTTCTTCTGGCAGTCCATGGTACTTCCAGTATTCTTCAACAACACCACAGCTCAAAAGCATCAACTCTTCTTTGGTCTTCCTTACTCATTTCCAGCTATCACATCCATATGAGGCAATTGAAAAATACCATGGCTTGGGTTAGGCACACCACAGTCTTCGAAGAGACATCTTTGCTCCTCGGAATTTTAAAGAGGTCTTTTACAGCAGATTTGCCCACTGCAATACGTTGTCTGATTACTTGACTGCTGCTTCCATTTGTGTTGATTGTGGGCCCAAGCAATATGAAATCTCTGACAACTTCAATCTTTTCTCCATTTATCGTGATGCTACTTATTGGCCCGGTTATGAAGATTTTTGTTTTCTTTATGTTGAGGTGTAATCCATACTGAAGACTGTGTATCACAGGTTGTTATTGAGTCTTCCTCCAATCCTGATGCAACGTTCTTCTTTATATAGTCCAGCTTCTCAGATTATTTGTTCAGCAAACATATTGAATAAGTATGCTGAAAGAATACATCCCTGGCACACTCTGTTCCTGATTTTAAACCATGCAGTATCCCCTTGTTCTGTTTGAATGACAGCCTCCAGGTCTATGTACAGGTTCCTCATGAGCACAATTAAGTGTTCTTGAATTCTCATTCTTCTCAATGTTATCCGTAATTTTTTATGATCCACACAATTGAATGCTTTTGTGTAGTCAATAAAACACAAGTAAACATCTTTCTGGTATTCTTTGCTTTCAGCCAAGATCCATCTGACATCAGCAATGATATTGCTCATTCTACATACTTTTCTGAATCTGGCTTGCATTTCTGGAAATTCTCTGTCAATACACTGCTATGATTGTTTTTGAATTGTCTTCAGCAAGATTTTACTTACGTGTGATATTTATTATATTGTTTGATCATTTCCACATGCTGTGGGATCACCTTTCTTTGGAATGGGTACAAATATGGATGTCTTCCAGTCACTTGGCCAGGTAGCTCTCTTCCAAATTTCTTGGCATAGATAAGCGAGTGCCTCCAGCGCAGCATCCATTTGTTGAAACATCTCAATGGGTATTCCATCAATTCCTGGAGGCTTGTTTTCCTTCAGTGCAGCTTCAACTTCTTCCTTCAATACATTGGTTCTTGATCATATGCCACCTACTGAAATGGATAATCATCTACCTATTCTTTTTGGTACAGTCACTCTGTCTATTTCTTCCATCTTCTTTTGATTTCCTGCACCATTCAATGTTTTTCCCATAGAATCTTTCAATATTGCAACTCAAGACTTGAATTTTTTCTTCAGGTCTTTCAGTTTGAGAAATGCCGAGCATGTTCTTCCTTTTTAGTTTTCTAACTCTAGGCCTTTGCACATTTCATTATAATAATTGACTTTGTCTTCTTGAGCTGCTCTTTAAAATCTTCTGTTCAGCTCTTTTATCTTGTCATTCCTTCCATTTGCTTTTACTACTCTTCATTCAAGAGCAATTTTGTCTTTTCTCCCATTCCTGTGTTTTTAATGACCTTTTGCTTTCCTCATGGATGATGTTCTTGATGTCATCCCACAATTCCTCTGGTTTTCAGTCATTGGTTTCCAATGCATCAAATCTATTCTTTAGATGGTCTCTAAATTTAGGAGGGATATAATCAAAGTCATATTTTGGCTCTCGTGGACTTGTTTTAATTGTCTTCAGCTTCAACATGAACTTGCATATCAGCAGTTGATGGTCTGTTCCACAGTCAGCTCCTGGCCTTGTTTTGGCTGAAGATATTGAGCTTCTCCATCACCTCTTTGCACAAATGTAGTTGGTCTGATTCCTGTGTGTTCCATCTTGAGAAGTCCACATGTATAGCCACCATTTGTGTTGTTGAAAAAAGGTATTTGCAATGAATAAGTTGTTGGTCTTGCAAAATTCTATCATGTGATATCCAGCATCATTTCTATCACCAAGGCCATAGTTTTCCAACTGCCAGTGATTCTTCTTTGTTTCCAACTTTTGCATTCCAGTCACCAGTAATAATCAACACATCTTGATTGCATGTTTGGTCAGTTTCAGACTGCAGAAGTTGTAAAAATCTTCAATTTCCTCATCTTTGGCTTTGGTGGTTGGTGCGTAAATTTGAGTAACAGTAGTATTAACTGGTCTTTCTTGTAGGCATGTGGATATTATTCTATCAGTGACAGCATTGTATTTTAGGATAGACCTTGAAACATTCTTTGTGACGATGAATGCCACGCCATTCCTCTTCAATTTGTCGTTCTCAGCATAGTAGATCATATGATTGTCTGATTCAAAATGGCCAGACCAGTCCATTTTAGCTCACTAATGCCTAGGATATCGATCTTTATATGTTCCATTTCATTTTTGACAACTTCTAATTTTCTTAGATTCATATTTCATACATTCCATGTTCCGATTATTAATGGATATTTGCAGCTGTTTCTTCTCATTTTGAGGTATGCCACATCAGCAAATGGAGGTCCTGAAAGCTTTACTCCATCCACATCATTAAGGTCAACTCTGCTCTGTGGAGGCAAGTCTTCCCCAGTCGTATTTTGAGTGCCTTCCAACCTGAGGGGCTTATCTTCTGGCACTATATTGGACAATGTTTCAGGGCTATTCATAAAGTCTTCCAATTATATGTTAGACAGTGTTTCACTGCTATTTGTAAGATTTTCACTGGCCAATTCTTTGAGAAGTGGATGGCCCCTTCCTTCTTCTAAGTCTGTCCTAGTCTGGAAGCTCCACTGAAACCTGTCCACCATGGTGCCCATACTGGTATTTGAAATACCAGTGGCATAGTCTCCAGCCTCATCACAACACACAAGGCACCACAGTACAATAAACTGAGAGATGAGTGGTTTTTCATAGAGGGTAGATGAGAAGAAACAAGCTTACATGGCTGGAAGACCTAGACTAGATATCAAGAAGAATTTCCTGACTGAGAATATTGATAACTCTGGCTTCTATGACCAAAGACAGGCGTCTGTGATGTTCCTGCCCTAGCAATATTTTTCAGTCTCAAGCAAAAAGCTGTTTGGGTGATTTAGTGCAGCCCTGTGTATGAACTGGATAACCCCTCAGAATCTCAGCCTTGTATTTCTAGGAGATGTACTGTATACTGCTGCTCTTACAGTTTTGTTGCCAGTGCCTGACTCCCAGCTTAGAGGCTGTGGAGTTTTCCCCACAGAAGGGAACAAGCATCCCTTTCACTCCGTTCTTCACTTGGACCAGTCCTTGGGTATACATCTGTGGTTTTTCTGCTCTTCAGCACTTAGGTACTTTCCTTCAGAGCCAAGGGACTCCTGGGAACAATGTAGCATCTGTATGTTGACAGTAACAGCCTGTAGGCCAGAGACACTTGGCCAAACACTCTCTCTGTTCTTCATGGGGTGCATTGCACACCTCACCTACAATAATCCACAGTTTTTACAACCCCAGCTCACCACAATTCCTTTCCTTCTACTTATTCCCCAACCTTTTATCTACCAATTCTGGGTTCCTTTGGCACATTTATGCCAGTCTCATGCAGGATGGTCTCTACCCATTCCACACAGAGTGAACAATAACACACTAGTGGCATATGACCTGATGCTAAATAGTAGACATTAAAGGGTGATGTACACACTGCTTAGTTGGCAGCTGACTATTTACAAAAGGTTTGGCCTGCAAAGAGATGTCAATCTTTTCCTAAAACATTATTATTATTTTTATTTATTATGCAAGTTGTTGACTTACATGAGGAGTTGAGAATGCTAATTAAGCATGAAGTTGGTACATGGTCTGTTTCTGCTGAGTTCAGAGACTTGGAAACCTCATTTAACTTCTGGCGAAAGAACTTAATTCCTAAATGCTGTTTAAAACCTTTTTTTTTTTTTTTTTTTTTTTCTCAGGCCTGAGTCAGGGAGGGGATATGTGCCTGTGAGGTAAGGTGACATTTCAACCCTTAAGTCACCCTAAAAGAGCAGAAGCTGTGTTGTGTGTAAGTCATGCAGTGTACAAATTCAGTGTTAAATGACAAACCAGCATAATCTCTCACTAGAAATGTGTCTCCTTTGTAGAGATACCACAGTATTTGTCTTAAAACCTCCATCCAGTGATATTACAGATGTAACTACACAGTATGAATGCATTAAAGAAAATTAGGTAGATAATGAGAAATACAAGAAATTTTACAGAAAAGAGAAGGAAACAGAGCAAATGAGATTTTAAGGACTAAAATGAAGTGGTGTGTGTGTATGTGTATGAACATGTGTGCTTGTGTGCATGTGCATGTGTGCCTGTGTGTGTGTGTGCATGTATGTAGTTGGAAGGCCTGATGATCCTTTGTTTAGTCTCTCTGAGGTTTGAATTGCTATTTCTATTCAGCATATAGTAGATGTTTGGTAGTATGCAGAAGTATCAGGGAGAAATCAGAGTTCCACCTTTTGAGCCTTTTCTTCGGGTTCATGATTTTCTTTCTGAAAAACATCATGACAGTGATAGTTAAACTGGAGTTCACTCTTATTTTTGAGTTGAGATCAGCAAACTAAACTGTTTGGCTAAGACTCTCAAATCCATCTTTAATTTTATCTCATGAATTCTTACATGGAATTTGATTTGTTTCCCATTGATACCTTAAATGGAATGGTGGGGAAAAAAATCAGTTCCTTTGAAAACACAAGACCTTTCAAAAAATGCTTTCTAGTTGTACTGCCATGACTGTATCCAAACAAACATCTTGACTCTGATCACCATATCCTCGTATATTTTTCTTCTTAATCAAATCCACTGGAGCCTACAGAATTCCCAATCAACAGGAAATAAAAGGTACATACAAAAACAAAAAACCAAACCAGTTACAGTCAAGCTGATCCCAACTCATGGTGACCCCATGTGTCCAGAGTAGAACCGAGCTCTTTAGAGTTTTCAGGCTTATGATCTTTTCAAAGTAGATTGCAGGTCTTTCTTCTGAGGTGTGGTGGGTTCAAACTGTCAACTTTCAGTTGGTAATCAAGCACTTTACCATTTGTGGCAACAAACCAAACCGAACCCATTACCATTGAGTCAGTTCCAACTCATAGTGACCCAGATGGTGGGTTTGAGTTGCAGACCTTTGGGTTAGCAGAGAAATCGAACCACTGCATTGCCAGAACTCCTTTTGCAACACCCAGGGGTTCCTTAGGGAGCTCTGGTAGCATAGTGGCTAAGACACTTGACTGCTAACCAGAAGGCTGGCGGTTCAAACCCACCAGCCACTCCTTGGAAGGGAGATGGGGCAATCTACTTCCATAGTGATACTGCCTCAGAAACCCAAGGAGGGGTCGCTATGAGTCGGGTCCAACTTGACGGCACATAACAACAACAACAACAACAAGGGGTTTCTTAAAGGGACATAGAGAGAAAGAAAAGCTATCCTGCTTACTGTGTAGTCTCATACTTACCAATCGTTTCCCCTTTAGGAATCCATCACAAAAGTCTTGTACTTGCTCTTCTGAAACCTCTACTATGGGTAATGTATCCCACTCATCATCTAGAGTCTGGTATATTGCCAAGGCTGGCAGTTGAGACTTCTTAAGTTTGAAAAATGATATCACCTTTCCATTTTCCTTCATGTCACTGTCCACCAAAATAAAAAGAATCTGTAGTTGGAGAAATTTGAAAGAGAAATATCTGTTTGAGATTCAGGGATAAAAAGACATCTTGCATTGCAGTTTATATTGAAGGAATTTATGGTCTATATCACACAATTTAAATCTCAACTGAGTTGAAATTAATATTATATTATTTTGTGTTGCTTTGGTGTTTTATTTCCATTGATTAAATTTGTTTAATTTCTACAACATATAATTTTAAGACTTTAGTGATTATCTAAGGGAAGAAGTCTAGCCTAAAGATCAAAAGCAGAGGACTAGTTTTAAATCCTGCTTATAGCACTTTCTAGCTGTGTGACTTTAGGTACATTACTCAACCTCCCTGAGACTCAGTTCTATCATTAGTCTTTCGTTACCAAAAAACTCACTGCCATCGAGTTGATTCCGACTCATAGCAACCCCCTTTGGGTTTCCGAGGCAGTAAATCTTTACGGAAGTAGATTGCCCAGTTTTCCTTTCACAGAGTGGGTGTTGGGTTTGAACCACCAACCTTCTGGCTAGCTGTCAAATGCCTTAGGCACTATACCACCAGAGCTCCTTAGTCTTTTGTTTGGGGAAGATTAAGTGAGATGATGTATTTTGTATTTTTAGCACAAATTTTGGCATATAAAAAACTAAACCAGTTGTCATTGAGTTTATTCTGACTTATGTTGACTCCATGTGCATCAGAATAGAACTGTGCTCCACAGGGTTTTCAATGGCTGATTTTTTGGAAATAGATTATAGGCTTTTCTTCTCAGGCACCTCTGTGTAGACTCACACTTCCAACCTTGTGGTTAGCAGCTGAATGCATTAACCATTTATGCCACCTGCAGACTCCTTTGGGCATATTTAAAAAAAAAAAAAAACACCTCAATGCTGTAGAGTCGATTCTGACTCAGAGTGACCTGTCCCTAGGTTTCCAAGGTGGTATTTCTATGGAAGTAGATTGCCCAGTCTTCCTTCTGAGGAGTGACTGGTGGATTTGAAACTCCAGTCTTCTGGTTAGCAGTCAAATACCCTAGTGAGTGATAAAAGTCTATTATTTTATATTACTAACTCAAACCTTGTACCCAAAGTAGTACTCTTTATAAATTCTGAGGATATTTTGTATTAGCACTGAATAGTTTCAACATAAGGGAACCAACCATCAGAAAGGCAACTTACTTTACTGTTGGACAGTGCCTAAGGCACTTGACTGCTAAGCAGCAGGCTGGCGGTTCAAACCCACCAGCCACTCCTTGGAAGGAAGATTGGGCAATCTACTTCTGTAGTGATACCACCTCGGCAACCCAAGGAGGGGTCACTATGAGTTGGGGCCAACTCGACAGCACATAACAACAACATAACATAACAACATAATCAGAAAGTTCTCTAATTCAATGCAAAAGTCTTGAAGTAGTTGAAGTCTTACTGTTTAAGTGGTATCAAGCAGAATGACACAAAATAAGAAAGGGGAGGAAATGAATACTTTATTGGACACCTAGTAGGCATGAGGCACATGATAGGTGTTTTATATGATAAATAATCTCAGATGTCCAAAACTGAGAGATTATGGCAAGGAGAAGATCATTTGTGATTAATAGGTGATTTCTTCCTTTCAGTATTGTTGGGTCTCTATTGTTTCTCTACTCACTGTCTTTGAGTTGGATCTGACTCATAGCGACCCCTCCTTGGGTTTCTGAGGCCGTATCACTACGGAAGTAGATTGCCCTATCTTCCTTCTGAGGAGTGGCTGGTGGGTTTGAACCACCAGCCTTTTGGTTAGCAGTCAAATGCCTTAGGCACTACACCACCAGAGCACCCATGTATCAATATAGAAAAAAAAAAAGAGAGAGAAATGGACTCATCACTAAAGGAAGATTGTATGATTATATAGGCCTTTAATAGTAAAAAATATGATATCTACAACATCTTTAATTTCACATCAGAGTGTTGTGATATATTATCTTGCAATTCTTATCTTGATTTATGTTAACCATACTTGTTTTCCTTATTCATCTCTACTTCCCTGGTCCCATCTTCCTTTTCCTGGTGTCCTTATGGTGAGGAGTCAAAAGAGTGTCTCTCAGGGTTGTCGTCACTTCTTGGCCACACCCAGCTACCCAGAGGGAGCGAGTAGTTGGACCTTTGGGCTTGAGACCATGGTCATAGGGGACATCAAGCTCAACTGGCATAACATACTATACAAAAACACTGTTCCACATCCTACTTTGGAGAGTAGCAACTGGGATCTTAAAAGCTTGCAAGCAGACACCTAGCTGCAACAATGGGTCTCTCCTTGTTCAGAGCAAAGAAGAATGAAGAGAATCAAGGACACATGGAAACAATTAGTCCAAGTGACTGGTATACCATGCAATCCTCAGACTATATGACTATGAGACTAGAAGAACTAGATGGTGCCTGCCTACCACTGTCAACCACTTGGTTGAGGATCTATGTAGGAGATTGTGGATAGGGTGGGAGAACAATGTGGAACAAAACTCAAAATCATTAAAAAAATAAATAAGTTTGCTGCTCTGATCCAGCCTGATGGAACCCCTGAGAATATGGGCCCTAGCTGCCCTTCAGGTCAGGAATTGAACCCATTCCTGTGGCTTCCAGCCAAACAAAAGACAGGCATATGACTGTACATTTACATTAGGTAGATAAACTCCTTGGAAAGAACAATCATGGGAGAAAGAAGCGCTGTGTATGCACAGGGAGACAGCTCGGGGTGGGGCAGGGCAGGAGGGCATGGGAGGGAAGTACACAAGGAAGAGGTAACTATGGGGAGGAAGTGGGAGAGGAGCTGTTCATTGTGGTAAATTGTAGTCAATGTCATGAAATAAAGTGTTTGTGAACGGCTGTACAGAAAGTGAATTTGCTCTGTAAACTTTCACCCAAATCACAATAAAAATTTTTTAAAAAGAAGAAAAAAAGAGTGTCTCTCATCTCAGACTCACCTTCCCCTGGAAGAGCTTAGCTGCCTTTTGGTATCTGTGCATGTTTTCTTCATACCCTGGAGAGGCCTTGTTAATCATCAGGAGAAGATGAGTTGGAATCAAGCTGTTGAATAGGCCAATCACAGTCTGACAAATGGAAATGTGTTACCGAGAGAGAGCGAGAGACAGAAGAAACTTTACTGTCAAGCCAGTGAATGGGTGTATTGATGCATAAACAAGAGCTGTCTATCATTAACATGAATAGTAACAAGCCTCCAAGATGGCTCTCAATCGGTCTTCCCTTCTGGTTTTCTCACCATTGTTTAGTCCCCTTGCACACCAAATAGAGCTGATCTGAGTGACTAATAGGATATTGCCAAATAGATGGTGTGCAACTAGGCAGTCACGCTAGTAATAAAAAATAACAAAAGACATCATGGCTTCTGCCTTCTCTTTCTTATATCACTTACTCTTGGGAAAGCTAGCTCCAGTATCGGGCACTCAAACAGCTCAGTAGAGGGACTTCTTTGGGGAAGCACTAACACATCCTACTAACAGCCAGCACCTACTTGCCAGCTACTTCCAAGAGCCTAAAACCCAAAGCCACTGGCGTGGATTTGATTCTGACTCATAGCAACACTATAGGACAGAGTACAAGTGCCCCACAGGGTTTCAAAGGCTATAAATCTTTATTGAAGCAGATCACCACATCTTTCTTCTGTAGAGTGGCTGTTGAGTGTGAACAACTAACCTTTTGGTTAGCAGCCAACACCTTTAACCACTGAGCCATCAGGACTCTCTGGCTTCTATACAGCTGATGACAAAACTCCATTTGGTAAAAAGGTAGATTCTTCAGGCCAGAAGCATTGGCCCTTTTTTTTTTTTCCTGACTTAGAGAAGGTAATTCCCCATGAAATTGAAGGGAGTAAGTGGTTGAGAGAACCAGAGAGAACAGAGGAGGGAGAAAGCAAAATTACTGTGCTGGCTCCCTACATTTCACTTTCTTGAAATAGTGTGACGAATGTTTCTATTTTAAACAAATGGTGATTCTTTTCACCTCTCACTTATAAATTCAGAAAGCATTGCTGTAACAGTAGCATGCATACAGGAGAGAGAGAATACAGTGGGTTAATGAACCATTGGGCAGAGTATAGGATAGTAGGAAGGGGAACAGCCAAATTGGGTCCTTCCTGAAGCTACACGCTGCTCTATGGTTTTATTATTTAGAGTTAGAGTGTGTATCCAACTTCCTAGAATGCAGAAGGAAGATAAATTTCAGGAAGTGACAAGAAATAGGAGCTGGAGAGTCAAAAGGTACAACTCTTAGCAGAAGGGATTGGGCATAGCAGAAGGGATTATTTAATTCCAACAGACATAGCCTAATTCTTTGCCTTGAAGCCAAGTACTACTGACTGTGTGCATTAAAAGGGCATAGCAGGCTAAGTACAGGACTGTGGTTTTCTGCCCAGTTGCTACTGGTGTAAACCTTTGTACCAGCAGATGGGCAGTAGCTAGAGTAGTTTCAGTAGGCTGCCAAATTAACAAAACAAAACAAAAACCTACTTTAGGGAGATGAAAAAGTTACAATGGAGGATTGAACTTGCTTCTATAAAGAAATTCTTGCCTGATTTCTTCTTGATGTGACTTGCCTTCACTATTAATGTTAAAGGTTTTTTTTTTTTGTTTTTTTAAAAGAATCATTGCTTTGTAAAATGAGATATGGATAAAGGACAGAATTTGGGAAGAGTTAGTCCTTGTCCCTGTCTTTGTTAGCCTGGAGAACTCTAGGACATCAGAGCCAGGGTCCATGAGATCATCTTTTCTGGTCGTACATACATGTGTGGCAGCTCCATAGATGCAATGACCAGAAAGAGATTGTCCAGGAGAATAATCCTTTTGTTCCCCCCCACTTTTTAAAAGCTTTTTATTGTGATTTGGGTGACAGTTTACAGAGCAAATTCATTTTCCAATCAACAGTTCATGCGTATTTTGTTTCATGACATTAATTGAAATCCACATAGTGTAACAGCTTTGTGTTAGGCTGGGTTCTCTAAAAGAGCAAAATCAGTGAAATGCACATATAGAGAGAAATTAATTCAAGGAAATAGCTCAAACAATTGTGAAGGCAGGAATTCCAGATTTGTGGGGTCAGATAGCA